GCATCTATATTACACACATGTAATATACCTTATGACTCTGTCAGCTTGAAAGAATTTCATTATTCTTTATGTCTCATCAACAAAAGTCATAAATTACTATTTGGTCAAAATGCTATGACAAGCTCTCGACTACTTGAACTATTGTATTATGATGTTTTGGGCACTAAACATATTTCATATGATGGATATTCATATTATGTGGTGTTTGTTGATCACTTCACCAAATATAGTTGGTTATACCTGATGAAGAAAAAATTTGATGTTGCAGTAAGTTTCCTCGGTTTAAAAGGCTTGTTTAAAACTTTTTCAATCGGATCATTATGTCCCTATTCTCTGATAATGGAGGTGAGTTTGTTAAGCTCTTTCCCATTCTAAATTTAGAAGGAATTTCATATTTCACTTCGTCACCTGATACTCCTAAACACGATGAGACTGTTGAATGGAGAATTGTAACATAGTGGAGACTGGTCTTTCTGTACTTCACTTTGCATCTCTTCCAACAAATTATTGGCATTATGATTTTCAGATGGCTATTTATCTTATCAACCGAATGCCAACACTAATATTGGAGAATATGTTTCCATATTCCTTATTTTATCAACAATCATCGAACTCTGATAAGCTTCAACCATTCAGATGCTTATGCTTTCCTTGGTTGTGACCATACATGGATAATAAAATTGAACCACGGTTCGTTGATTATGTTTTCCTTGGTTACTTGATGTAGTATGTATATAAATGTTTGGATCCAGATACCAAAAGAACTTATGTCTCTTGTCATGTTCGATTCGTTCCTCATATTTTCCTATTTTCTACAAGGAGTGCAATCACTTTGCCACAACATTCCTCTCTGGGATTATTTCCTGCTGCCTCAGAATCCCTTCCTGCAACTATATTAGTTTATATGCCACAATAAAATGATGAATTAGCTGCAGTGCCGACACAACAACCCGATGATCCATATGATGCACCAACACCCTTTATTGATATACCAGAGCATAATGACATACCTGCTACTACATATGCTTTGCCCTAGCAAAATACCCAACAACCACGCACTTGTCGAAAAAATCCAAGGTATTTTAGTCTTTCATTTGTTAATACCACTACATGTCACCCTCTATCTTCCACATTGGAGCCAAATACTGTTGCTCAAGCTCTTAAAAATATGTTATGGAGATAACCTATGGAAGATGAGTTTAATACTTTACTACACAATCAGACATGGGATCTTGTTCCACTATCTAAGCAATTTATCGTAGGATGCAAATGGGTATTCCACGTGAAAAGAAGTCCAAATGGTTTTTTTAAACGGTAAAAGGCCAAATTATTTGCTACAGAGTATTCTCAAGAGGCTGGTTGAGACTATTTTGAGACATGTGTGGCCTATCAAGCAACTTGATATCAATAATGCCTTTTAAATGACACTTTGTATGAGGAAGTTTATCTAGAACAACCTTCAAGATATGGTTGCTTAATCACTTTCTTGACATTGAGGTTATTTTCACTCCAACTGGTTTGTTTCTATCTCAGGCATAATACATCTCAGATATCTTGGCACAATTTCATATGGAAAATGCTAAGGCAATTCCAACAATTACGTCTTCTTTCGACAATTTACCTTAACCTGAGCCATTTATGTCACTAGATATCTCGAGTTATCGATGATTACTTGGTCTTCTTCAGTATCTCACAATTACTCATCTAGAAGTTGCCTTTTCTGTTAATCATCTGTCGCAATACATGCATGGCCCTATACTTACACATTGGACAACATCTAAACGTATCATGTGTTACCTCAAAGGTACGTTATGCCATGACATTCTTTTTGGCTCGGCGTCTTCACTCCTTCTCACTTCTTTTCCGATGCGGACTAGGGTGGATCCTCTACGGATGACAATTCCACTAATAATTATGCTATTTATCTTGGTTCTAATCTCATCTCATGGAAGACAAATTGTCAGAGAATAGTCTATCATTTTTCTACATAAGTTGAATATTGTGCTCTAGCAAATTCAACTGCTGAAGTACTTTGGGTTCAACATCTACTTCAAGAAATTGGCATAACATTAAACAAACCACCATCTCTCTTTTATGACAATCTCAGTGTCACATATGTTTGTAAGAATCCAGTCTTTCATTCTTGGATGAAGCATCTTGCACTTGATTACTCCTTTGTTCGTGGCTTATTTATTGTGAGTTCACTACTAGTTCAACACATCTCATCCAAAGCATAAATTGTAGATACTCTCACCAAACCGCTTGGATGAAATTTCTTCCTTCATTTTCGATCCAAGATTGGTGTTTATGATGGATCCTTTATCTTGTGGGGGCGTATTAAAGATAAATATTAGATTAGATTATCTAATCAATCAAATCAAATTACACATTATAATCAATCTTATTATGCCTTGTATAAATCTTACTTTGTGTAAATTTTGTTAGAGTATGCCCAAAGACCAATCATATGATGATTATAATAATACTTTTATTTACCGATTTTATTGAATAAAGGCATTGTCGCTATTATTTTCATTTATATATATGTGTTTAACATAAACTGGAAGATAATAAAGTCTATATAATGACATAATTGTTATTATTAAAAGATCCCTAGTCAAGTATTATTATGGGCATGGACAATAATAATACGCTTAAGACTAACATGTTATGATTGATGACACCGAGTTGTCATTGACATAGAGATGTCAGAATTGATACATGATTATATGTTAGAACAATGTATTGGATTGACCGACCATGAGCATATGTCTTGGATTATTATGTGACAGTCATAACCATTGCTCATGGTGATGACTATATGTATGATCATCAGACTTGAGATCAATATTATCCCAACATATATTGTTGTATGTTTTGATGCAGCTAAACAAGCTCCGTAACTGGTTTCTCTATAAAGACTGTTATTAAATATATCTCAATATATGTAGTGGGTGTGTATGATTAAGATATGATTTGTCCTTCCTACATAATAGGAAATATATCACAGGCCACTTGATTGGGTAAGACTAGAAACTCATGGCCATGCTCGAATAAGTTGATATGAGATATCATAAACTATTCGTTAATTACAGTCTACTCTAGATATCAAGAAACGATAGATGGGCTATACAAGTGTGACTATTCCAATACTTGTGCCTATTCTAGATATAAAGGGCATAAGGATGCAATACATAAAAGAGTTAATCACCAAGATGATATGTCGAATCATATTTTCTTGTAACTTAGGTGACAATGATATATTGCTAGATGTCACTCATTGTATGTAATATTAGAATTGTTCTAATAATTACTGCTAACGTTACAAGAACCTACAAGGTCACACCCTAGGATTGAAACGAGCAAAGATGTTAAATTTTTTGTACGTTACTAAAATATATATCTAGAGTTAATTAAATATATGTTTTAATAATCCCGAATATTTAATTTTAATTAATTAAATATATATTTAATTAATTTGAATTAATAAAATCCCTAATATGATTAGGGTAACTTGGATATAAAAGGATTATTAAATTCTAATTAATTAAATATAGATTTAATTAATTTATTTAATTAATTTGAAATAATAAAACCCTAATATGATTAGGGTAACTTGGCTATAAAAGGGTGTGTTAGGTCTAGCAGCCGTTTTAGAACACACACAAAACCTTCAGCCGTTTTTCTCTCAAAACTGTTTTGGGAAAGAAAAATATTGCTCTTAATCGGGTGAACTGAGTAGAGGTCGAGACGTGCTTTTGTGGAGGCTTACGATTCGACCCAATCCACACCACCAATATTCACTATTGTCCTTGTTGTTTTTCAAGGTACCCGCTGTAAGTATTTACATCCCTTCCTCCCGATTTCAGTTTTTCGTACTTGGATCGCTGGTGAAACCGTCGAGTTTTGTTTCCGCTGCGCCATGGGGTGTGCCGACGGTCTCAACATATTTAACTTTCCTTACCTTTATAGGATTCATATTCTTTTGTAATCTTATATATATACTCATCAATTGTAAATTTCAGTTTATCAAATATACAAATCCTTTACAAAAATATTTGCAAGAGTGATCAAAGGTGTCATAAGAAGCCACAAAAGATTCATAGTCAGTTGGATCGACATTGTTTTGATGTAGCTTTTCAGAATAAATGGGCTTGGGGTATGATTGGTTTGAAGGGCTCATCGTGAGAATTTTTTTATGATATGAAGTGATGTACGCTCATCGCACCAATTATTGATGTGAAAAAAGTTGATTTTGTCGGCGATGGATGATTCATCCCTTTTGATTTGGGTGGAGAACCGCAAACGATATTGTTTCAGTCGTTTTTGATAACGTTTACAATAATGAGAAAAGGAGTGGGCCAAGACCCATATTAGTGGGAGAGGAACAATGCCCCATTGTACCTATTTCGAGATCTTTTAATTTTATTGTTGATGTCAAGTGTAGAGTTACTATAGTTATCTATAGACTAGTAGAATTATAATTTTTCGAAGAGTACAAGGTTATCGATACTCTGTTTTATGTCCGGATACCTTCCTCTACAGAAATTTCCCTCCACAGAAGTTACATGGAGAACTTGATGTGTGGAGGAAGTAAATTCAAAAGTGATATGGTAAATATACTCTATATTAAATCTGAATTAGTTGTTAGCAATTAATTGAATGAAATAACTTTATTAATATATATTAATTTAAAGTCTAAAGCAATTAATTGTTTTTAACGATAAGTCGAAATATAATTATAATTTACATGCACGAATTATTCGGTTTCGATCTAAATTTTATTAAATTAACCGATAAGGTGGTCGAAATTTAATGCTACTTATGAGACTACATGAAGTGATTCAGAACCTTGCAGTTCCCACGTGTCCTTTTCCCATTGACTGAACAATCAATCTTCTTCCATCTTTTGCTTATAAAGGCGCAATTCCCTGAGCTTTCCATGCAGAGAGTTTTATGTTTCTTCTTTTTATGCAAAACACAGCCGTTGAAAGAGATATATGGTGTCAGAAGAAGCACTGAATTCACCTGAAAGTGACGTCACCAGCATGAGTTTCGAGGAAACGGAGCTGACTCTGGGACTGCCAGGGGAGGGACGGTCATCACAGGCGGCGGCGGTGGTGGCTGTCAAGTGCTTTACAAAACATGGTTTCCTTTATCTTAGCGTCTCTGATCATAAGTCCGGTGCCGGGGAATCTTCTCCCTCCAAGTAAGGATGCCTATTCCCCTATGGCTTTTTTTTATTCTTCTACCGGTACAATGGCTGTTTATAATTCATCACCTTGAAAATGATAAGTATTTTTGCTAAATTAAATGGTATTAACTTCCCATTAGTTGACATATTACTTTAGTTATCTATTTATTTATTTTTAAATAATTTAGGGTGGATACAAGTTAATATCAATTCAAAATCTTTCTTAATCATTGTCAACGTACACACTATTGCAGACATAATTGCTTGAACTCAGGATATATGAGAGAATATATCAATTAACTTTTAGATAGAGTGATATAAAAGATAATGCGATATACATGAGAAACGAGGTTGCGATGACTTTCGATGGTTCGTCCAATATGATTTAGATGAATAATTGTTGATGATTGTTTAGTCGAGGAATCATCTTCTTAAACTTGCTTGTTCTACTTTTCTCTTTGATCAAATAATCATATGTGATTATCTATGTAAGTCAGAGAAGGAGCAATTAAAAACTACCGCAACCTTTCTCCCATCAACAATAAACATAACATATATGTCTATTTTTGTAAAAAATATAATCATAAAACAGTCAGTTGTGTATATGTCATATTGAAGGGAACAAGTTGTGGGTTGGCCACCAGTGAGATCATGTAGGAAGAAGGGTATAAATGAGAGGTTTGAGTATGTGAAAGTAGGCATGGATGGAGCTCCATATCTTCGTAAACTCAACTTACAAGGTTGCTCTAATTACCTGGAGCTATTCAAAGATTTAGAGAAATTGTTCAATTGTTCCACAATTAGTGAGTATCATTATCATTATTAAGATTACCATTCGGTTTAGGTACAATTACAATAATTGGTGTAGTGGTTTAGGTGGTAAAAGAGAGGAAAACAAGCTAATGGATGATGTGGAGTATGTTCCCACTTATGAAGATAAAGACAGTGACTGGATGTTAGTTGAAGATGTACCTTGAGGTTAGAACTCTACCGATGAAGAGGTTCGATGTTCAATTCAAAAGAATTACTGCATCCTCTAGAAGATTCATCGATTGTCCTTTCTCGAAAGAAGAGGTTTGGCTCACTATTAAAGTGTCGGATGGATCAAGAGCTCCGGGCCATGATGGATTTAACCTTGATTTTTTCAAGAAATTATGGTTATCCATAAAAGTTCATGTTATGCATTTTATGGATGAGTTTTATCAGGGGAACATTGAAGATTTTCCTTCAACAAGTCTTTTATTACTCTCATCTCTAAAAAATTTGAAGCTATTGTTCCGGAGGATTACATGCCTATTTCGTTGGTAGGCAGTTTATATAAGATTGTGGCTCATGTTTTGGCGAGAAGGATGGCTAGTGTTATGGGAGAAGTTATTGGGGATACACAATTTATTTTTATGGCTGGGAAACAAATTACAGACTGTTCCTTGATTGCAAATGAAGTTGTGGATGAGTTGAGGAAAAGTAAGAAAGAAGCTGTCTTGTTTAAGGCGGATTTCAGCAAAGCTTATGATACGGTTGACTGGAACTTTTTGAGTCTAATATTAAAAAAAATAGGCTTCGACAGAAGATGGAGGAGGTGGGTTAATATTTGTATTTCAACGCCCTCGATTATTGTCCTAGTTAACGGATGCCCTTCTAAGAGTTTCTCAATCAAGAGGGGTCTCAGGCAAGGGTGTTTGTTGTCTCTGTTTCTGTTTAATGTAGTTAGTGAGGCTCTTAGTGGGCTACTTAAGAAATCGGGGGCTTATGGTTTGTGTCGAGGGGTTAGAATTGGATCTGGAGTAGAAGTATCTCACATTCAATTTGCTGATGATCTCATTTTCTTTTCTGAAGCGAATGTTGAAAATATTAAAAACCTGTGGCGTGTGTTCAAAATATTTGAGGTTGCGGTTGGGCTAAAGCTAAATATGAAGAAGACAAATCTTTATAGGATTAATGTGGAAGATAGTAAGGTTACTGAATGGGCTGATTCGATTGCGTGTGGTTGGGCATGTTTGCCTACCACATATTTGGGTCTTCCTCTGGGGTACAACAAGAACTCCAAGTTGATGTGGAACATATCGTTGACAAAGTAAGAAATCGTCTTCAAAGTTGGAAAGGTAAATTGCTTTCGTTTGGGGGTAGAATTACTCTAATTAAATATGTTTTGGTCAACCTGCCGGTTTACTTCATGTCCTTATTTTCTATCCCAAAAAGTGTATCCGAGTTGATTAATTCGATTGTAGCAAGATTTTTGTGGAATATTAAGTCTGTTAGAGGGATTCATTGGATTAAGTGGACTAATGTATGTGGTCTGAAATCTCATGGGGGTTTGGGTATTTTCGACGTCAAGACTAGAAATAGAGCGTTCCTGAATAAATGGATTTGGCATTTTTTAGAGGACAGTGAGTGTTTGTGGAAAAAGATTATTGTTGCGAGGAATAATTATGTCCCAAAATTGATTCTGCCTAGAGCTGCTAATTATCAAAAATCTTCTTGGTTGTGGCGAGACATTATTAATCCAGCAGTTTTGTATAGTGATGGTTTCGTTTCAGAAATAAGATGTGTTATGGACGATGGGTCCAGAATTGAGTTCTGGTTCAATTTTTGGACTGAGTTTCGTTCTTTAAAAGATGCTTTTCCGAGAATTTATGGGATTGCTGTTAAAAAATTTGGTTGTATTGCAGAATTCAGGCATTGGGTTGGTAGTGTCTGGGAGTGGAATATACTTCTCAGAAGAGTTTTATTTGATTGGGAATTGGATGTTTGGAGGGATTTCATGTTCGTACTCGAAAGAGCTATTGGTTCAGGTCTAGCATCAGATAGATTAAAGTGGTTAGGCTCTGCTGATGGTAATTATAATATGAAGGATTATTGCTCCAAAATGGATTTAGTTGGTAAGGAGGAAGATCCTAGTTGGAATCGGGTATGGTGCAAGTATGTTCCGCTTAAAATTTCTGCTTTCGTGTGGAAAGCTAAGCATCAAAGACTACTAGTAGTTACTGAATTGGTTAAGCGAGGCATTGATTGTAACGCTAATAAGCTTTGTATTTTTTTGCAAATGCTTTATAGAATATCAAAATCATTTGTTGCTTCACTGTGATGTTTCGTGGCTTGTATGGCAACGATGTTGTGAGGTATGGGAAGTCAATATTGTTTTTCCTAGTAACGTTAATGAGCTAATTCAAATATGGTTTTCTCATAAAATTAGAAGGGAAAATCTGTGCTTATGGCATATCAGTTTCTTTGGGTTGATTTGGACTATATGGTTGAGTAGAAATAAATTTAGATTCGAGGGCAAAGTTTTCACAGTAGATCAGATATTTAATATAGCATTGTTGCAAATTGGTGTTTGGATGCATTACTTGTGTCCAGAGAAGGTTCCTTGTATACATGATTTTGTTAGATGTCGGGTGCTTTTCTTTTGGTATGATGCTTTCGTTGGTTGCTGCCTGTGTTAATTTCCTTGCTTTAGGTGGCACGTTGTTCTGCAGATTTTCATTGTCTGGTTTTGCTGCTGAATTTCAGCCCTTGTAATATTGTGAGATTCAGTGTAGTTTCATTGTTAGGGGGTTGTTTCCTTTGTGCTCGGCCAGATTTGTTATGATGGTCGGATTGAGGAATTTTTTCAATTTTTGTAAGTATAGTTTATATTTTTCTGATTTTAACCACCTCAAAGCACACTCTTTTTCCTCCAAATAGATTTAGGAGGTTTTTTAATGAGATCATTGAGGCGGTGTACTTTGTACCCTTATTTATACAAAGTACCACTCTTTCAATATATATATATATATATATATATATATATATATATATAATATATATTAATAATAAAAATCTTCTAATTGTATTACTATTGAGTGCATGTGCTACACCTTAACTGTGATTGAAACATGATGTTTATAGAATCATGCAAGCGTATCCGTTTGATGAAATGCTCAGAGGTTGCAGTCTTAGCCTCAGGTAATTTATACGTATACATGAACAAGAATATTAAATATTCCATATTTTATTTAATTTAAGTGGTGAATGAAATGTGTAAATAATGTTAGTTTCATTTTATTTAATTGATGCAGAATCAAAGGGTTCTTCTATTTCCAATCTGGAAGCCTGAAGCCCCAGTTGATCGAATGGTGTGGCTTCTTTGAGTGCTTTTCTCTTCTTCTTTTCCTTGGATTTGGAATCCTTGTAATTATGTAAGATTCCAACAATAAATCTCACTTCATATATGTTCCACAACTGAGTGCATGCTTTGAAGGCTCACTATAGCAAAATGGGGTTTTAGCGGCATATTTAGCGGCGTTTTATGAGAAAACGCCAGAAAATAATGTACTTTAGTGGCGTTTTTATACAAACACCACTAAAGGTCGTACGTTAGTGGCACAAACGTTGCTAATTTCACGTACTGCGGTGGCGTTTAACGTATAAACGCTGCTAATTACAAGCACTATAGTGGCGTTTTTATATAAACGCCGATAAATAATGTACATACGTGGCGTTTTATATAAACGCCGCTAATTACACGTACATACATGGCGTTTTCTAATTACATGTACATACGTGGCATTTTATGCACAAACGTCGCTAATTACACGTACATACGTGGCGTTTTATGCACAAACGCCGCTAATTACACTCATTATAGTGGCATTTTTATATAAACGCCGATAAATACTATACTTTAGTGGTGTTTTTATTCAAACGCCGCTAAAGGACATACTTTAGTGGCATTTTAAGCACAAACGCCGCTAATTACACGTACTCTAGTTGCATTTTTATATAAACACCGATAAATATTGTACTTTAGTGGCGTTTTTATACAAACGTCACTAAAGGTCATACTTTAGTGGCGTTGCAAGCACAAACGCCGCTAATTACACGTATTTTTGTGGCGTTTTACACACAGACGCCGCTAATTACACGTACTTTAGTGGCATTTTTAACATAAATGCCGCTAAAGGTCGTCTTGATCCATTCAAAACGCTGTGTTTTGGGAACTTTTGTTCTTACCTTATGCTTTTCCCAAAACGCAACACGCAAGCCTCGACCATCAGCGTAGCATCTCGTTCATTCAGCTCTCATTTCACCCAAATCTCCAAACCCTAGCCCCGCATAGCCACCATAGCCCAAAATCCACCATCAGCGTAGCATCTCGCCACCATCGTACTCTTCTATTCGTCAACCGTCGTCGTACCCAATGTTATTAGGGTGTGGTTGAATTTAAATTCAAGATATTTTATGGTTTTTATGCTTTTTGCAATTTCTTCATTGTCGTGCTTTATTAAATTGTTTTAGAATTTAGAACCGTATGAGCACTTTCCGAGGTAATTACTGAAAACTGGAATTCAAATGAATGTGAGATGTTCTTTTTCAAGTATTGAATATTAGGTCTCCTATAGTTTTCTAGAGCTGTAGCAAATAAAGAACAACAAATTGTTTCTTTTGAAGGTGTCTGATTTGTTAATTTGAGGTATCAACGTTGTGTGATGGAGGTACATTTGATCTTTCCTTTTAGTTCGTTTCTCATGTATGTTTAAGTAGTGAATAATGATCTTTAATTCTTTTTCCAACTTTTTTTCTACATAATTGATATAATCCGATGATTTATGGTTAAGGGAGTGCTTTCGTGTACTGCTTAACAAATCAAATTGTATGAATTTCTTTAGCTAGCACGATGAACACATCAAAGTAATTGCATTTTCATTCACTTGGTAGGGTATCGAATTTATGAGGAACATAAGAATGATATACTCCATCAAGCAGTTCACCTTATCTTCGATCTAAGTTGTTTGCAATTAATTTAGGCCATATAACTACCGAATTTACCTTATCAGAATTTAAAAACATGGTCATTTTCTCATAAAACTTTGTATAGCAGACATTCTTTTTATTATTAACCTTGGCCTATTCAGATGTTACATATTTTTCAATTCCTCTATGAGCTTTTCATTATCACCCCCATCCAGAACATTGTCTTCCTCGGGATAAACTCCACTTGGCAGATTCCCCAACCTGAATATTTGCAACTCGGAAAAATTAGATATCAAATTCTGTGGGATTCTTCTGATATCAAGGGACTATTTCTATAATCAAGCAGTTCATTTAGTGGGAGTCATTCTTTTTCCCTTTTAAATGTTATACTTCGTCCCTAAATAAACCTTTTACATTCGGTAGGAGTGTATTCATCATGTTTTAGTACATAAGTTAGCAACAAACTTTCATTTGATAATTCTATATTTTATTATTTAAATTATTTTCGATTAGTTTGTAGCTTAAATTTAATACATTATACATGGGGTTTTTTTCCGATCTAAATTTAGGAATTTCAAAAACTCATGACAGGTAATCGTGAAGCATCTCACCGCCGTCGTACTCTTTTGGTCGTCAACTTTCAACTACCTGCAGGTATGTTTTCTTGTCCATCGCACCCTACTTTCAATCAGCCATGTTGTTGTGGTTGGGTTTTTTTTAATTGTGAATGTTCGGAGTTTTGTGAAACCAGTTTTGAACGAAGAGAATGAACAAATATTGATTTTTTTTTCTTTTCTTTTTGCTCTTTATGAGTTTTAGAGTAACACATTTTTCTCTTATTTCTTATTTTTCTTCTTTTTTATCATCAACTTATGAGTGATCAAAGATCTAATAAACTCATCAAGAGATAAATATACTCTTTATTTCAATAATTACCATTTTCTTAGTTTGCCAAAATTTTAGTAAGTTATGGAGCATCTTCTTTATAGTTTTTTAATAGAGATTGATTTCTCGTATCCTTTGAGAGCATTGATAATGATAGAGAATTTATGACATGATATATATCTTAATCTAGATTCATCTTTAAAATTTATAGTTGAGAGTTAGAACTTAGAAGATCAATCTTTGTTTCCTTTACACTAATGGTACTATTATAAGTGACCTCTAATTTATCATATATCTTTTTGGCACTTAAACAAAAGAAGATTGAAATCAAGTGTACAGAATAAAGAGAGCAGGATCTTAATATTAAGTTAAATTTTCGTCTTCGTTACAATCTTCCATCTCTTTTGTTTAAAGTTATGTATTCTTTCACGATGATTTCACAAGCTCCAAAATCACTTGCCTGAACAAATAACTTCATTTAATTTTTCTTATAATCACAATTGGTATTTTTAAGTGTGGAGATTGGTTGATTGGTTGTGCGTCTTCAATATAATAAAAACTAGAAGGGTAAGTCTTTCTTTAAAGTTGATGTATGTATTAATAAAGCCCTTCAAAGACCTTCTTAAGATTGTCGAACTCTTAATAGAAGCATGCTTAAATATTACTTTTAGCTTTATCAGTCAACCAAATAATATTAAGAGTGGGTAAATTGACTTATGACCAGTTTTGCTCGTAGAGTTAAATCATACCAAACGTATAAATGTTAGTGGTGATTTTGTCAAAACAAATAGTTTAGTGACCATATTAGAAAAGTTAAAATAGTTTGGTGACTAGTTGTATATTTTATCCATATTAGAAATGTGTAACATAATGTTTATTTGTCTGCAACAATCTTGCATTTAATCAATTTACTGGAAATGTCCCTTATTCCATCAATCATATGCATTCTCTTCAATACATGTAAGCAATGTTTCGAATATTCGTTTTTTTTACAAAAAATTGTACACATTTAAATAGTCGGTATACGTTTAAACTCTTATGCTCTTCCTTTTCTTTTCCATTTCTGGAAATACAGAAATCTGATTTTTTGTCTGCATTTATAATGCAAAATCTAGGTTGTTAATGGTGAAATTATAATGGACTATGTATGTATGTATGTGTTATACGAATGCATATCATTTTCTTGTATACCTGCTCCTCTTGTCATATTTTCACAAAACTAGAATACACTACCTTCTCAAATTTTGTTCATTTTAAGCATATGTCCCGTTTCGAGATATACTACTTAATTTCTTTTTATATTCTTTATTTACACATCCAAAATAAATAATTGTGATAGACATTACACATCCAAAATAAATCATTTTCATGTAAGCTCTTTCTTTTTCATTTCCAGATCTTTGTAAGCTTATTTCTTCTCTTATTCTTCAACCTGTAGAACCCTTGTATACGAACTGTAGTTATTGTGGCCAATTTCTTTTATACTTTATTTTATATTTACCCTTTTTATAGCCATTTGAGGTTTTCATCCTCTTATGCTTAGTATACCTGTGTAAATTGTAGGGAGTCACCTCTAAATGCATTGCTATCTGAGCCAGTGTTCATTACCGTTTTGACCAACGTATTCTTCTTCAAAAACTTACAGTGCAGGTAATTATAGAGTTCAATAATATTAGTATGGTTAGCATTTTCAAATACTTATGATTCATCAGTTAGTTCAGTTTACATTTTGATTAATTTCTATTATTTCCTTACTGAAAAACTTTGCCTAATTTGGTATCTTGACCTTTAGTTTTATAAATAAAAACTTTGCCTAATTTTCCTAAAGTGATTAGTTCTATACTATGTAGTTCTATATATTCACCCCTATAATTTTTATAAAATAACATAGATACAATTGCTCCCATATCATTTTTATAAAATAACAGAGATACAATTGCTCCCAGATCTTATAATTTAGGAGTGATTAGTTGTATACTATGCAAATATTAGTATTCACTAAATCTGATAGTTTAATGTTTATGTTTGGGTTCTAACTTTTTCTATAATATTATCATTTAACATTTGAAATTTGAAATTGGAACTCCAGAAATACGAAATGGATAAGACTTGGATGGATTTCTCAAGGGTAATCGTCGAATATCGAAATGGAGTTGAAAACTTTCTAAATTTAGCTTTTTTGAATGCAAGCCAAGAGAATATGATTCTTTGCCCTTGTAAGAACTGTGTTAACATTAACTGGCACATTCGTGAAGTTATGTATGAGCATCTAGTTATTTTTGGATTTGTTTGTGGGTATAGAAAATGGATCTTTCATGGAGAGTTTGTATCAGATAGATATGCTTCCACGAGTTATTCAACTTATCCTGCTCCTTCTCACCATCCAACTTTTAGATAATATGACATGGAAGGGATGTTACGATATGCATTTAATATGCACAATAGTCAGCCGTATGTTATAGAAAATTATTGGCAGAA